CTTTAATAAATAAATAAATAAATAAATAAATAAATAAATAAATATGAGGACCTACTAGCAAACACTTAAATGGTGTTTATGAATAGCCAAAAGCATTCTTTTGGTGGTGGCAAGAACCTTGAAACACCATACAGTTGTTGCAATAAACATGGCTCCAATCAGTATCTCCTTCATGAGGCTAGATTCTCAGAAAGCTAAGGAATGGGGTGGATCCAGCCATCAAAACCACAGCTTTAATCCTAGCCATATTGCTTAAAAAATTAAAGACTCGTGTGGTTAAAAAAAAGAGAGAGATATACAGTAAAGATAGATTCAGATGAAGAAAACCTCTAAATGATTTACAGTGTGTTTAAAAATATATGTAGGCTTGGGAAGGAAAAGAAAAAGGATAAAGTCCTTAAAATAAAAAAAGAAAGAGAGTAGTTGGGTGTGGTTGCACATACTTTTAATCCCAACACTTGGGAGGCAGAGGCAGTGGATCTCTGTGAGTTCAAGGTGTGGTGGCACACACCTTTATTCCTAACACTTGGGAGGCATAGGCAGGTGATCTCTGTGAGTTCAAGATGTGGTGGCACACACCTTTATTCCTAACACTCGGGAGGCAGAGGCAGGCAAATCTCTGTGAGTTCAAGGACAACCTGGTCTGGAGTGAGTGCCAGGACAGTCAAAGATACACAGAGAAACCTAGTCTCCAAAAAAAAAACCCCAAAATTAAAAATAATAACAAAATAAATGAAGTTTAAAATAAAGCCACATAAAATGGAAAATACACAGAGAGTCTGGATACTGTATGTTATTATGTTGTCTTTGAATTGTTTTATAGCTGAGGAAGGAGTAACAGCTCATAAAAGACATTTGATTATAAATGTTGCTGGATTAATCCAACATATATATTTTGAAAATGCCTTGACTTCAAAATTTAAGTCAAAAGATATTACTTTTGGGAATGTTGTAAGAAGGCTGCTAGTTAGTTCTCAGCTGCTCATCCCCAAAATAAATCACTCAGAAACCATATTATTTGCAATACTGTTTGGCCGATAGCTTAAGCATATTTCTGGCTAACTCTTATATCTTAATTTAACCCATTTCTAGTAATATGTGTATTGCCACATGGCTGTGGCTGACTGGGTAAGGTTCTGTCTGACTCCAGTGGGGCTACATGGCTTCTTTTGTACTCTGCTTCCTTTCTCCCAGCATTCAGTTTAGTTTTCCCCACCTAACTCTACCCTGTCCTATCAACAAACCAAGGCAGTTTATTTATTCACCAAGGGTATTCACTGCATACAGATGGGAATACCACATCAGGGGAAGGGGTTTTGCTTTTGTTTCCACAGGAAATAGGAGGCTGTGGATTCATCCTGGACTAAGAAAATCAGGTCTGATCAAGGAAGACTCCTGAGAAATCTCCAGTAAGAGCAGATGGCCCAGATGTCTGAGTTCTACACCCAGGACAATTTCAAGTCCAGTTAGGACTTGATCATAATTCTAAATTTTCTTTAGGTCCTCATAAGATTATCAGTGTCCCAAACCAGCTGGAAGTAGCCTATAAAACTATGCCTACATTCCCAAAAATTGGATTATGGATGTTTTCTTTATTTAGTTATTGGTTACAATTTGTTTGGATAATGGCCAGGAAGAAAGCTAAACAAATGATATTAGATTCAGAGTTCTTGTTTTGGAAAAAAAAAAAAAAAAAAGGTGGGGGAAATGCTGCGGAACAATGGTTTTGTACTTTGTCACTTATAGTGTATTGTTTTAATAAATTGATGATTGCCAGTGGCCAGGCAGGAAGTATAGGCAGGATGGCAAAGCAGGAAGTAGAAGTGGGGCCATGAGAGCAGGAGAATTCTGGGGAGAGGCAAGACTCAGTCTGCAGTCGATACAGAGAAAGCCAGACACAGAGGAAGCAAGATGAGAATACCTTGCTGATAAAATGTACCAAGCCACATGGCTAGCACAGACTAGAATTATGGGCTAATATAAGTTATAAGAGTTAATATGAAGCCTGTGCTAATAGGCCAACCAGATTATAGTTAATGTAGATCTCTGTGTTTCTTTGGGACTGAACAGTGGTAGGACCTGGTGGGACAGAAGCCTCTGTCAACACCACTGTTAGGAGGTGTGGCTTTACTGAAGCAGGTGTGCCTTTATTGAAGGAAGTGTATCACTAGGCAGACCTTGAGGTCTCAGAAGCTCAAACCAGGTCTAGTGACACACAGTCTCTTCCTGCTGCCTACCAATCCTGATGTAGAATGCTCCTCTCCTTCTCCAGCATCATGGCGCCTGCATACCACCATGCTTCCAACCATGATGATAATGGATTAAATCTCTGAAACTGTAAACCAGCCCAAATGAAATGTTTTCCTTTGTAAGAGTTGCCGTGACTATGGTGTCTCTGCACAGCAATAGAAACCCTAACTAAGGCACACCTTTCTCATTTTGACTGAAAGAAGACTGTGATCTACTTGCCTCTAACATATCTGTAGGCTGTAACAAATGGTTTCATGGGAAAGATACTCAAGCTCCCAGGAAGCATATGCTGAAATTCCAAAGCAGAGTTCTGAAGACAATTCCATGCAGATCAAGCTGCAACTTTTCCTGAGTTTCACTGAAACAACCTTGGCTCCCTTAGAGTGTATTCATTTGTTTGTTTGGGGCTTTATTTTTTAATGAAAGTCCATATGACTTTGTCAATCTGAATTCTCACTCAAGCACTTCAGATAATACATTAAATATTGCAAGTGTGGACTTAGAAATTCCAAATTGCAACATGTGTCCAGATACAATTGCTTTATTCTGTAGAGCTATACTATATAGTCCAGTCTGGTAGGATGAGCTTGAGGACCTGAGTTTGATTTCTAGGTCCTTCAGAAAGTCAAACTAGAGCTGGGGAATGGGAGACAGAAGGATCCCTAGGGCTAACTGGCCAATGAGAGAACCTGTTTCAAAAAAATAGGGTAAACAGCTACTGATATGCTATGAGGTAGACCTGTGGGAGCAGGCACACACATGTGCACCCATACACACACACAGAAAATAGAGGCATGCACTGTAGAATTACGTAACAACATCTGGACGTCTCCTGGAAACCCCTGTTAGCTGTGGGAGAATAGATCGCCTTGTGTCTGACTGAAGAAAGGTAGGTGCGTTCTGTCCGATAGCTTGCAGTGATGGGTTGCTAGGTCTGAATGCCACCACACGAGCTTTTAATCTATTGACAGAATGGTCAACACACACATGGATGCTGCTCAAATTCATTTAAACAAGGGTTTAAACTTCTAAAGAACCAGGTGGCAAGCATTTTAGCCTTCCTAGTACATATAATCTCTGCCAAAAGTACTCGGGCCTGCGACTACGCTGCAGAAGTAGCCGTCAGTACTGTGGGCACGGTTCTAATCTAATGAACTCCTGTGTACAGCCACTGAAGTTTGAACGTCATAGAACTTCCCCGTGTTAGGAAACATTAATCCTAGTTTATTTTTTTTCCATCTCTGTTAATGTAAAAGCCATTCTTCACCTGTGTACTGTCTAACTGCACTGCTGGCTGGAATCAACCCTTACCCTGCAATTTTCCGACCCCTGCTGTAAAAGTTGTTTGGTTTTGCTTTTTTTCTTTTTCTTTTCTTTCTTTTTTTTTTTTTTTTTTTTGAGAAGCTTAAGAACTTTTCTTGAAACTTCTTTTACCTTATCATTAATCAGTCTGGCAAATATTTTTAGGTGGGGAAAAAACTGCTTAATTATCCAAGTAGTCCCAAGCCGGGTAGAGGCTTGGATTGAAGCAGTTTCCCACAGCTGGCAGGACCCGCAGTTTGTTGCCTAGCTGTGAGATGAAGAGGCCGTCCCCCATTTGAGCCTTCTTTCTAAGGACATGCTTTCCTCCTCCTTTATACTGCGATCCTGGCTGGTTTGATCCAGTGTGCTGTCAGTAAGAACACTACATCTAGGAGGGCAGGAAGGCAGAGCATAGCTGAGGCCTTGGGGTATTTCAAGAATCACGGGACAAGAGAGAAATGAGGGCCAGGGAGATAGCTCAGCAGAGAGAGACTTTCACTCATAAGCCTGATGACCTGAGTTCAATCCCAGGAATTCCTATGAGGGAAGAGAGAACTGAGTATTTCAATTTGTAGATAGGCAGATAGATAGATAGATAGATAGATAGATAGATAGATAGATAGATAGATAGATAGATAGATAGATAGATAGATAGATAGGTAGGTAGGTAGATAGATAGATAGATAGATAGATAGATAGATAGATAGATAGATAGATAGATAGATAGGATAAGATAAGATAGATAATAGAGTCAGTACTGAAAATGAGGCAAATGCAGTTTTAAAGAAAACAAAGTGGAGGAGGGTGGTGAGAGAAAAAGTGGCAGTGGGGGCTGAAGGTAGACCTTGTCCAGCATTGCTAAATGAAAGAATAAACATTTTATAACTAAGAAGAAAGAGACAAGAATGACCTTTCAAATGTTCTTTGGAAGTATAAGAAGGGCGAAAACCAACTTTCCATGAGAAGGTCAGAGCAGGTAGAGGGGGAGTTTAGGGACAGGACCGTGGCTTAAGATGATAGGTATGGGGACATGTCTTTTCACTGATAAGAAAAAGCCAATATTAAGAGACCTAATTAATGCTGGAATTAACTAGGAAAAGGGACAGGCATCCAGGTGTCTCTGGGACTCAGAGACAACTGCAGAGACTTGCCTTGGCTTAGAACGCTTCAGTCAGCCAGGAAGGCAGAGCACTGTTTTGGATGTTGGGGGCTAATAGAGGTCCTCCTACTCTGTGTCTACTTTTCTTTTCTTACTTAGTTTTTATTCATAATCATAAACTTAACTCTGCAATCCAGCTAGACTTGAAGGGGAATGAGAAAAATATGGAACCCAAAGAACTTCAGTGAGAGCAGAGATTACAGGGTACTGCGAGCAGATGGGGCTAGGGTGCTCTCCTGAGCTACAGAAGGAATGGTCTGGTGGATAAGTAGCTCGCAAGTCAAAAGAATTAGAGTTGTCCACAGTCTGAAATGGTGATCTTCTTGCTGGTCTTGCCATTCCTGGACCCAAAATGCTCCATGGCTTCCACAATGTTCATGCCTTCTTTCACCTTCCCAAAGACCACATGTTTGCCATCCAGCCACTGAATCTTGGTGGTGCAGATAAAAAACTGGGAACCGTTTGTGTTTGGTCCAGCATTCGCCATGGACAAGATGCCAGGACCTGTATGCTTCAGGATGAAGTTCTGATCCTCAAATTTTTCTCCATAGGTGGATCTGCTGCCAGTGCCATTACGGCGTGTGAAGTCACCACTCTGGCACATGAATCTTGGAATAATCCTGTGAAAGGAAGAACTCTTATATCCAAATCCTTTCTCTCCAGTGCTCAGAGCACGAAAGTTTTCTGCTGTCTTTGGAACTTTGTCTGCAAACAGCTCGAAGGAGACGCGGCCCAAGGGCTCGCCATCAGCCGCGATGTCAAAGAACACGGTGGGGTTGACCATGGCTGCAGCAAGCAGTGAGAGGAAGACAGCAGCATCTGCCCTCTGTGTCTACTTTTATACACTGTTGAAAGATTTGAGAATTGAGGGGGACTGGTCCTTCACTGGGAAACTGTTATTAAGAGGTAACAAATTATTAGACAGTTCTTTCTTGTTTAGAATTTAATTAATCTTTTATCTATTTAGAGTACAGTGTGTGTTTGTGTCCCCGCATGCGACTGTCAGGTGACAACTATTAGAAATCAGCTCTCTGCTTCTACCATGTGGACCCAAAAAATGGAATTCGCTCAGAAAGTCATGCTTTGTGGGAGGTGCCCTCATCCTCACCTATAAAGAGCCATCTAGCTTGACCCTAGAATTTAAATTCACCTTCAAATTGCTAGTACCTTAAATTTAGATTTAGAACCTTGAATGTGGACTAGATAGCAAACTTAATGCATTCTTTAGGAATTTTTAAGTCTACCTATTTGCAATATAAATATTATATATATGTGTGTGTGTGTGTGTGTTATATGTATACATTTATTCACAACAAATTATTTGAGGCTTGTTTGATATGGGTCAATTTCCAGAATGTTCATATGAGCAACATTAACTTTAATAAGACTTCAGTTTATTTGAGCCGGGTGATGGTAGCACACGCCTTTAATCCCAGCACTCAGGAGGCAGAGGCAGGCGGATCTCTGTGAGTTCGAGGCCAGCCTGGTCTACAAGAGCTAGTTCCAGGACAGGCCCCAAAGCTACAGTAAAACCCTGTCTTGAAAAAAAAACCCTCCAGTTTTTAATTCATGGGTAAGTAGCTTATTACCAAAGGAAATCTGGTCCATATCTGTTTCTAACTCTTGTCTGTTTTATTGTACTGATTTCTTCTCTCAGTAATTTAGAATTTTACCTCCTTCATTGAAACTATTTTTCTTTTAATTTTGTATCATTCACAACTTGCATGAGATGACTGTGCTAGATGTCTGTTCTAGATTGCTGATGTGGGAGTGTCATATATTAATCTGTTGATTTCATTGGTTAATTAAATAAAGAAACTGCTTGCCCTGATAGGTTAAAACATAGGTGGGAGGAGTAAACAAGAGGAAGTGAGGTAAGACTCCTCAGACAGACTCGACAGCTCTGCTCTCTGGAGCAGAGATGCCAGGCTCTGCTCTCCCAGGCAACTCCCACCCAGAATGGACGTAGGCTAGAATCTTCCTGGTAAACGCACCTTGGGGTGCTTACACACATTATTAGAAATGGGCTAAATTAATATGTGAGAATTAGCCTAGAAGAGGCTTGATAGAAATTGGCCAAGCAGTCTTTAAATGAATACAGTTTGTGTGTTGTTATTTCAGGCATAAGCTAGCAGGCGGCTGGGGTGCTGGGGACACAGCCCCGCTGCTCCTATTTCAACAGATTGCACTATGGCAACAAACCTCAAGGGACTGACACAACAATGACGTATCTCTTCCTTAACGGCAAAGTAGGATGGGTAGTTTCCAGGGCTCTGCGTCTCAGGCAGCAACTGAGATAACCCAGCCTCTCAGCTCCAGTCTTCAGGCAGTGACTGAGATAACCCAGCCTCTCACCAATTGTCACCAGCCTTGTAAGCAGGTGGCTGCAGAGAGGCCATGGCTACAAAGATGTACAGGGACTCTAACAGAGTTTGCCTCAGAGGGTAAATCCTCTGATGCTTACAGCCGTTTGGCCAGGGATGCCTAACTGCTCCCACAAAATGGTGAGGAGGCTGGGAATTGGGAGAGGACATCAGGCTACTTGCTGAAGAGAGACTATGCCCAGCAGCCTTCCTTGTCCGCATGGAGTCGGGCAATATTTAACCCTTCATGTTTCCAGAATGGACCTATAAATGGAAACACACAGTATGTAACTTTCTAAGGTTGATTTTCTTTCACTCAGAATTATTTTTTTCTGGAAATTATTTCAACCTGTTGCACATATTAAGAGTCTATCTTTTGTTATGACTAAGCAATATTCCACAGTATGGATGGCCCATATTTCCTTTAACCACTCGCTCACTGAAAGACAGAAGGATGGTTTCCCGTTTGGTCTGCTATGAAGACAGCTGCTGTCAACATCTGTGTTCAGAATTCATGGGAACATAGGTCTTCACTTCTCTGAAAAACATGGTGGGGAGGGTGAAGTTGCCAAGTCATGATAGTTTATTTATTTATTTATTTATTTTAGAACTGCCAAGCTTTCCAAAGTGACTTTACATTTCACACTCCCCACACACTGACTCTGAGAGATCAGGTTTCTTCTTGCCATCATACATTGTCCCTGGGCTTTGTTTAAGGACTTTGTTTGTATAGAGCTGTCTCTTTCCATGTATGTTTCTTTAATGGCCAGTGATGCTATGTATTCTCCTGTGCCATTTGTTGTAGAGGAGCTGCAGGCTGCGTTCCTACCACCCAACCACCTGGCTAGTTTTCACCGGAAATAATTACACAGAAACTGTATTCTTTTAAACACTGCTTGGCCCATTAGCTTTAGCCTCTTACTGGCTAACTCTCATATCTTGATTAACCCATTTCTAATGAGTGTAGCGCCATGAGGTGGTGTCTTACCAGGAATATTCTTAACCTGCATCCATCTCCGAGAGGAGAGCTATAGCGACTGCCTCACTTCCCTTCTTCCCAGCATTCTGTTCAGTCTACTCCACCTATCTTAATTCTGCCCTATCAGGTCAAGCAGCTTTCTTTATTAATTAACCAATGAAAGCAACAGATAGACAGATGACCCTCCTCCATCAGCCATCCATGTATGTTTTGATGAAAAATCCCTTTCTGGCTTTCTTCCCTTTTCTTATCATGGTGTTTGAGCTTTGGGGGTTATTTTACCATTCTAAGTGGCTATCCTTTGTCAGACACATGGATCCCAGTGTTTTCTTTCTTTCTGCTTGTCTTTCACTTGGCATAGCACCCTCTGAGCAGGTCTTTCCCATAGTGACGTCTTCCTCCTTTTGAGATTCATGCTTGGTATCTAGAAAGTTTTGTCTTATATTAGACCCCAAAGATTTTTGTGGGGGGGGTCTTTTTATTCCTGAAAGTTTTGCAGTGTTAAACTTAAGTCCATTTCTACTTAATAGTTGGGAAATATTAAGTCTCAGATCAGGGTTCTTTTTCCCAGCTATGTATGTATGTGTGCCAAAGAGGCACAGTGTACTGAAAGGGCTGTCACTCCTCCCTCATATCTTTGGTCCTCATATCTTTGTCCAGTTGCGAGGTGTTCTGCTAGAACCATGCCGAATAGATAAATCAGGCAAGAGTGGACATCCTTTTCCTCTCCCTGGGCTTAAGACAAAGAGACCATGTCTTTACTGGGAAGTATGATGCTGGATTACCATCAGGGATCTAGTAGGCAGCCTTTATTCTGTTATAATTCTGTGAGACTTAAAGGCTATTGAATTTTGTGAAATATTCTTCTCTAAATCATTTTGACACCATCATATAAATTTTCTTCCTTGGGTCACTAATATGATGGGCTACACTAATTTTTCACATGTGAAATTTGTCCTACATTCTTGGAATAAAGTCTTTTTCTATGTGATTAGCATGTAACTATTTTATATACTACTGATTCTATTTACTAGTGCTTTTAAATTTTAATTATTTATTTAATGTGTGTAGTTGTTTTGCCTGCATGTATTTCTATGAGCCATATGTATGCTATGCCCACAGAGGTCAGAAAAGGATATCAAACCCCTCGGAAGTGGAGTTACAGACAGTTGAGAGATACATATGTGCTCAGGAATCAAACCCTGATTCCTTTTGAAGAGCAGCCAGAGCTCTTACCTGTGGGGCCATCTCTCCAGTCACTGTCAGGAATATTTTGATAAAAGTTTTTCATCCATGTAACAAGGACTAGTAGTCTCAAGCTTTTCTGTTTGGTGTCTAGGTGGACACCAAATAGAATGTGTGGATGTGCTGATTTTGGTGTCCTTGTCAGAGAAACATAAGCTCCATAAAGTGAATTGAGAAGTGCCCCCTCTTCTGTGTTTTAAGACAAGACTGTGTACTACTGCTACTCCTGCTTTGAACATTTGGGGAAATTCTGCAGCAAGTCTTGCTGTGGCCGGGAGTGTTATGGGAGGGATTTTTCCAATCACCAACTCAACTGCCTTGGTGGCTCTGGACCTAGGACATCTGTTTTATATTGGATTTGTGGAGGCCAGTTTTGTTTGGAGGACCTGGTAAATCTGAATGGTTGAATTGTATACAGTTGTCAATGAAATTTTTGATGTCTCCAGAGCCTGGAGTGTTTTGCTCCTTCAATTCCTGACACTTTTAATTTGTATCACACACTGTCTTGTAAGAGGAAATTTCTCTCCTACAAGCCACTTTCAAGTAACCATACAAAGGCTTAATATTAATTATAACTGCTTAGCCAATAGCTCAGGATTATTACCTGAACTCACAGAGATTTGCCTGCCTCTGCCTCCCAAGTGCTGGGATTAAAGGTGTGGACCACCACTGGCTGGTTTACTAGCTAACTCTTATATTTTCAATTAACCCATATTTTTAACCATGCTTTACCACGTTGCTTGGTACCTGTTCTCAGTACAGCATGTCTATCTTGCATCTCTCTGAGTCTGTTGGCAACTCCTAACTCCATCCTTCTCCTTTTCAGCATTCTCAATTTGGCTGTCTTGCCTAATCTTATCCTGTACAGCTATTGGCCAGTCAACTTCTTTATTAAACCAATCACAATGACATATATTCATACAGTATAAAGGAATATTGCCTAATTTAAAAGGGTTTTAACTTTAACACAGTAAAATTATATATAACAAAAATGGTTATCAAATAAGAATTACAGCTATAATATCTAGTTCATTTTTTATTTGAAAAAATTAGAAAAAATATTCTATTATCTATTTTTTCTTTGTGACTCTAAAGGTTTTTTTTAACCTAGTTTATCTTTTATCCTAACTAAGGAAAACTTTAACTATGACTATCTAGTGTTTCACTCCATCAAAGACCTCAGAAGTATGAAATGTTACCTAATTCTAGGGAT